AGAAAGGAGTCACTGTGATATTACTGCTGCTCATTAAGTTTTTGCAGAGGGAATAAAACTGCCATCATTTCCATAACTGATATTTTCCATATATATTAAAAATGATGCAAGAAGTCACTTTCGTAACAAAAAAAAGTATTCTCCACAAAGTATTCCAGATAATTTTAAAACCTCTATTAAAATTATATTCCCCCTTCTTGCCACTCTCCCCAGCGGTCAGTTAAGCTAGGCTGCACAGCACTGTTCCTTTTAAGTTTGTTTCACAAGTGATTGAATGCTACAGAGATGAGTAAAATGCTGCCTGCAGTATTTATGCTTATTTGTCACAGGTTGAAATTGGGTTGGGACACTGCAAGCATTTCAGAGCTTGTGCAAATCCTTCCTTGAGATTATTTACAACCTGTTGATGCATACTCAGGAGCACACCATAAAATATCGTTAAAGTGATAAATCTGTCATCAACTAGTATGAGCTTCCCTCTCTTCTCATTTTCTTTCATACATTTTCAATTGTTGTTTTCCTTCGACTGCTAACCCAAGTAAGATCTCTGTTTAATAATAAAACAGGCAGATTAAAAGTGTATGATGCTGAGCTACCTCTGTGATATCCTCACCTATGATGCTGTGAAACTGAGGACAGTGACTATTACACTGAAAGACAAATGATGCTAGATGAAAAACAGAGTGACAACTATTTTTTGTAAATGGATGCTGCAGATATTAGTGAGAAACTAAGATTCATTTCATTGTAACCAATTAAATTTGGATATACAAGTAGAAAAAAAACCTACAACATGTTCCTACAAAAGGCAGGAAAATTTGCCTTCTTTGACACCAACCTCTGTGGTACTTGTACATCAATAATGCTATTACTGTAGTTTCAAATTCTTTTCCTTTTAAGGCTCCAAGTCTCCATTCTACAAGCATCTACTTTACTTCCTCCCACCAACGCACCCACCCCCCCACACCCCCCCATTGTTTTATCTCTTTTTACTCCAATACTTCTTAAACTTAAGTCAAGAGAAGGAAGCAGTTAAATTCTTGCCATCATTTCTTTCCCTATAGTAGGTAGAGTCGTTTTTGCTAGGAATATCCATATTATAAAACAGAAAAAAAAGTCAAATCCCCCTGGACTGCAGTATTTCTTTGCTTATCACAAACATCTTTATACTAAATGGCATCTGTCTCCCTGAAGAAGACGAGTTTTCCATCTGAAGCAGTCATAGTATACTGCAAGGCATATTTTGTGATTATTATCCAAAAGAAGAAAAAACATTCCGATATGTATTCCCTTTCCCTGGGTAACTATTGAACTAGTCTTGAACTGTAATTCATGGAGAAACTGGGGACAAGGCAGAAGTACTTATTCAGCAAGCAGGATAGTTCACAAGTTAAAGGGATGGCGTTCACTTACAAGTGATTATTTCGGATGCAGTAGAGGTTGACTGCATTTTAGCAATGCACCAATACCATCCTTCATATTATGGGACTGCACAGTGGTAGAAGAATCACACACATAGTGAAGGAAGAAACATTAAACCAGCATTTTATTGCTCAAACACTAGGAGTTCTCACATGCAAGCATACAGAAGAATAAAATACCACTCCAATTAAACAACAAGGTTACTGAACTGGAAGTAAAATTATACATACCCTGAAAAAAAAAAGGGGGGGGGGGAAGGGGGGGGACAGGGGACGGACAAGGCACACAAGCTGCATGTAATTACTGGTTATTATTTTGGACAAGAAGACCAGTAGAAAGTTAGGATAATGATCAACTGTATAAACCATAAGTGCATTCCTACCCAAAATGTCAGCATCTCCAGATCTACAAGGCTTTCTGAAGCCAAAGTCCTTCCCTTTCCAAACCATGCAAGTTCAGCTGATCATTTACTCTAGGTTACATCACACAATGAATTCATCCCCCTGAACAGCTACTTGGGGATTGTGGGGCACCTCCCTGGGAATCAAGTAATTTCCAACTTCTCCATCAGACAAGAAAAAACAGGGTAGTTAATCTTCACATAAGCATTAATATTTAGTGACTGGTCTCTGACTATTACAGCAGACCTAGAAGATGAGAGCAGCCACTCTGAAGAGCTGGGATGATTTTCTACAGGGTAGGCAGTCACCTGCCTCACTGGGCACTAAGCCTAACAAGAACCCTGCTAACCATGCAGCATCAGGGGCCCTGACTGGAGCACATTTTGCAGAGCAGGAGATGGAATTAAGTTGGCTGCTGACAGGAATGATCAATATTTCAGAGACTAGTGTAAGAAACTCTTCAAGAAGTCACCAGGTTGTGCTGACATCTTGAACACAGGTAATGAAGCAGAGGGGACCTGCGCAGGGTCAGGCACCACAGCCCCCCAGAGAAGCTATGAAAAAATCTCAACAGTTTTCACTGCAGTTTCTGACAATACATCAACCCTAAAACACTCCCTATGCTGTTCCTAACTCCCACCTTAGCCTGAACTTGGATAATGCTGATTTAGAGCAAAAGCACGCTGAGTCTTCCTTGTAACACAAAAAGAAACGCTGACCATTTTGCATCCTGCGACACACTGGTATGAAGGCGCATTGTAACAATACACTGAATACTGCACACAGGGAGATGGATGAAGACATGCTACATCAAGCTTTACAGACAGCAGCAAAAAGTGTAAGACGGCTCCTAAATATTTAGAAAAGCTTGGTAAATTTCTTAGTCTCCAAATATTCTTTTGCAGTGTTGCATCCTTAAATAAAATCTAATACCATCTTTTGCTTTCTACATTCACACGGGTGTGCAAATTCTGCTATAAATAAGGCATTTCTATATGTTGACTGTCTGTAAGTCTAGATAAAACTTACTATCCACTATATCAGTATAGCAGAAAAAAAGACACCCTGACATTGACATGAGCTATTTTGTGGAAGAAAAATAAAATAAATAAATAAAACGGACTACATTGAATTTGAAATTTAGCAGGCAGGCTCTCCATCAAACTTGAAAGTGTTATTTACTGATACACAATAAAACAAATAACTTGCATGCTCCTACTCCCCAGTTAATGTTTATTGATTAAGCTTTTGTTAGAAAAAGGCCATTAGCAGTACATATTCCCGGACAAGTGCTTAAAGCAAGTCTGGTAACATACCTAACAATTTGTTCACTGAATAGCATTTACCAACCATTGGTTTTCACCCTTTTGCGGGGCGAGGGGGGGGGGGGGGGGGGGGGGGGGAAATGTGGGAGTCATTTGCAACAATGCAAGCAGAACAAATTGGAAAAAAGGCATACTGTTTTATTGGGTTATAAAAACAAGTAATTGCCAAAGTTTCATAGAGGTACAGCTAGTATGTGCAGCTCCACATTGGACTGAAAGTCACTTTGCTATTTCTAGGCTTCAGAGAAAGCTTTCAAAAAAAAATTCTCTAGTGCATCAGAAATAGATATTGAATTACAAGCACATTAATTGCATGAAGCATTCCATTTACCTGTAGCAATTTTGAAACTAAGCTACTTTTGAACTTTAGAATTTCAACTACCATTCTAGCACGTTTTATTCCTGCAAAGCAAAGTTCTCACCCTGAATGAGTCAAGGGGAAAAAAAAATACAATTATCAGGCAGTTATATTATTGCTGTAAAGGCATTAACCAGCTGACTCACTTAAATCTAGTCAAACAGAGCACACTGTATTCTCACCATCCTTCTTCACTTCCCACCTTTCAAGAACAGAGGTTTAGTAAACAGTATCTGGTAAACAATAGATGGTAATAAACTCATAAACATGCATATTTATAGTCATCTCTGTACATTCTCTTATGACCTATGCTTAAAATAATCACAGGCTTTTAGCTCAACTAACCTGTATCTGCAGTTGTACTTCAGGGTACAGTATTTTCATTCACACTGCAAGGATTTGGGAATAAACTTACTGTGGTCTGCAAAACCGTAATTACAAAAAAAGGTACTCAATATTTGCTACATGAACTTGCAAAGTCAGTGGAACAAATCCTGAAGATATTTTGCATATCCCTACACATACCCTCAGCAAGTACAAACTTGTGCTGTCCAGAGTGCACCGGTATGCATCTTTGGAAAGTAGTTCAACAGTTTTCTACTGGATGACTTTTACATCAAACAATTTCTGTGTGCAATATTTCTTGCAGTCTTTTCTGGAGAACTTGCAGCATTTCAGCTTAATATTCAGAAGAAAAAAAAATCAAAAAAACAATAAATGATCATCTTTACTTGAATATATGTTGGATCATCGTCAATATATTATGAACAGCACATCCCGAAGGCCAGTATATTCAAGTTGATCAAGAAAGTGTAAAGAAAGCCAACTTTAAATAGTGAGAGAGCAGGAAGAGTTAGATGGATACTAAGAAGACTTTTTTTTAAGTACAGAAGTATCTCACACCAATTTCTGAGTAATACATCAGGTGCCATTATAAGGTTTCTTACAACCTTATATTGACAAGAGTTACAATAAAAGGACCAATGTTTTTAGTTACTGCTCAAATGTTTGGTCTGGCCAAGGACTTTGTGAGCCTCATGCTCTGCCAGGGAGGAGGGGAAGCCAGGAGGAAGCAGAGACAGGACACCTGACCCAAACTGACCAAAGAGGTATTCCATACCACAGCACATCATGCCCAGGAGGTAACTGGGAGTTAGCCGGAAGGGCTGGGAGACTGCGGGGTTGGAGGAGGTATCGGTTGGTGCTTGGTCAGGCTGGGGGGGGGGGGGCGAGTTATCGGTCAGTGGGTGGTGAGGTGTTGTATTCTCCTCTCTTGTTATTTCCTTTATCATTATTATTATTGGTGGTAGCAGTAGTGATTTGTGTTATACCTTAGTTACTGGACTGCTCTTATCTCAACCCGTGGTAGATGCATTCTTTTGATTCTCCCTCCCATCCCTCTGGGAGCAGGGGGAGGGCAAAAAGGGGGAGAGTGAGAGAGCGATCGCGTGATTTATGGCTTTGTTTAAACCACGACAGCTCTTTTTGGCGCCCAACGTGGGGCACAAAGGGTTGAGATGACAACAGATCTGGCCGGATTGATAGTCACTTGTCACAATGCCGATTTATTGGCTCTCAAAGTTGTTTCTCTTGATCTCACAGTTTCAGAATGCAGTACATTACTTAGAGCCGGTATTTGCTGTGTTGGTGTTTATCAAGTGTGGGGCCTGGGCTAAGGTTCTTGTCTCACTGTGCTTTATGGCAATGACTTGTAATACGGGCGGGCTCCAGCAGCAGGGCGGGACGGACGTGGCCGTGGACTTGTACCTGGCCGTCCGGCTGCTCTTCACCGGCCTGGCCCTCGCCCTCGCCTCCGTCTTCGTGAGGCCGCGGGGAGCCGAGGGGGGGCGGCCCCGGGAGCCAGCGGCGGCCGAAGCAGCACGGGAGAGCGGCCCCGGGGACCAAGCGGCGGCGGGAGCGGGGCCGGAGGCCGGTAGGGAGCAGCTGCCGGTGGAGGAGGCCGGGGAGGGGGAGGAACGAGAGGAGGCGGCGGAGGAGCCGAGCCCCGCGGGGGAGCCGAGCCCCAGGGAGGAGCCGAGCCCTGCCACGGCCGGGAGCATCCCCCGGAAGCCGCCTTCCGAGCCCCAGGAGAATGTGGAGAGCAAGGTACCACCTTTGGGAGCCACACCTGGGCCCAGCCGCGGGCACCCGGGACAACTGGAGGATGTTTGGGGGTGTTGGTCGATGAGAAAATGAACATGAGCCGGCTTCAGTGTGCGCTTGCAGCCCAGAAAGCCAACCGTATCCTGGGCTGCATCAAAAGGAACGTGACCAGCAGGTCGAAGGAGGTGATCCTGCCCCTCTACTCTGCTCTCGTGAGACCTCACCTGGAGCATTGTGTGCAGTTCTGGTGTCCTCAACATAAAAAGGACTTGGAACTGTCGGAACAAGTCCAGAGAAGGGCCACGAGGATGATCAGGGGACTGGAGCACCTCCCGTATGAAGACAGGCTGAGGAAGTTGGGGCTGTTCAGCCTGGAGAAGAGAAGGCTGCATGGAGACCTCATAGCAGCCTTCCAGTATCTGAAGGGGGCCTGTAAGGATGCTGGAGAGGGACTCTTCATTAGGGACTGTAGTGATAGGAGAAGGGGTAACGGGTTAAAACGTAAGCAGGGGAAGTTTAGATTGGATATAAGGAAGAAATTCTTTCCTGTTAGGGTGGTGAGGCACTGGAATGGGTTGCCCAGGGAGGCTGTGAATGCTCCATCCCTGGCAGTGTTCAAGGCCAGGTTGGACAAAGCCTTGGTTGATATGATTTAGCATAAGGTGTCCCTGCCCACGGCAGGGGAGTTGGAACTGGATGATCTTAAATTCCTTTCCAACCCTAACTATTCTATGATTCTATGCAGGAGACCACGAAGCAGTTCCCAGCAAGGCTGAGGAGGAAGGTCTGGACTCAGAAGAAGAGAAGCTGGTGGTTAGAGAGCCAGCAAGCACAGCAGCTACACCAGCCCCAGTGACAAGTACAGCATCATCATCTGAGAGTTCTGAAGGTTTTGAATGGCCTTTGGGTACCCTTGGGACCTGCCTGCTGATTGTGATGGGGATCAGCATGTTGGCACACACACAGATTGTGTTCTACCCACAACCATTTTGTCTGATCTCAGAAGTTAAGCAGAGTCAGGTTTGGGTCTTGTCTGGGGTTAGACGACAATATAGCAGGATCAGGAGATTTTCCCCAAGGCTGGACAGTCATGAGCGGCAGGGTGTGTGGGACAGTATGGGCAAGTATCTAGTCCACTGGGCCCCTCCAGTGCTTTGGAAGTGTCGGAGTTGGAAGGCAGCTGTATGGAGTCCCCAGCAAGAGGCTGCAGAAGGGAAGGGTGAATTATTTTGAGCCTGGTGGGCCCATGGCACTTCAGGCCATCAGAGCAGAGATGCAACATAGAGACGGAATCATGATTGAGGGGTGGACTTAGTTACGGACACTATTGCCCAGGTTATTCACGAGTGTGAACACATTCAGCCTCTCCTGCTCTGAAAGATTGTTACAAGAGATGGAGCCTGACATCATGGACCAGGTGGACTCAGCAGCTTTATAGGGACTGGTCCATGCCCTAAAATAAGAGTGCACTGAGATAAGAATGATGGTATATTGAAAATGTGGGATCTGAGCATGATGTGAATGGTATGGAATAAGGGGTAGGTGCTGTCCTGGGTTCAGCAGTAGCAGTTATTTTTTCTCCTTCTTGGTAGCTGGTGCAGTGCTGTGTTTTTGACTTTTGGCCTGGGAACAGTGCTGATACCACCAATGTTTTTAGTTACTGCTCAAATGTTTGGTCTGGCCAAGGACTTTGTGAGCCTCATGCTCTGCCAGGGAGGAGGTGAAGCCAGGAGGAAGCAGAGACAGGACACCTGACCCAAACTGACCAAAGAGGTATTCCATACCACAGCACGTCATGCCCAGGATGGAACTGGGAGTTACCCGGGAGGCCTAGGGGACTGCGGGGTTGGAGGAGGTATCGGTCGGTGCTTCGTCGTGCTGCGGGGGCGAGTTATCAGTTGGCAGGTGGTGAGGTGTTGTATTCTCTTTCCTTGTTATTTCTGTTACCATTATTATTGGTGGTAGCAGTAGCGATTTGTGTTACACCTTAGTTACTGGACTGTTCTTATCTCAACCCCCGGGAGTTGCATTCTTTTGATTCTCCTTCCTATCCCCCCGGCAGCAGGGGGAGGGCAAAAAAGGGAGGAGTGAGAGAGTGACTGTGTGATTTATGGCTGACTTTGTTTAAACCACGACAGTAGTAATAGTAGTAATTTTATATTATACTTTAGTTATTGGACTGTTCTTATCTCAACCTGTGGGATTTACATTCTTTCCCTTCTCCTCCCCATCCCATCTGGAGGTGTGGGAAGAAGGGGAGTTAGCAAGTGGCTGCATGGTGCTGTTACTGGCTGGGCTTAAACCACAACACACTCCCAAACCATTAAGGACAAGATTCACAACACTGCATCAAACAGTCTTTGCTTTTCTAAAAACAGCCTTAAGAGCCACACAACAGTAACACTGAGATGAGAAAGCCAAGACTCCAGAAAGCCTATGACTCAAAAGTGGCCCCTAGGGCAGCCCCAGGTGAGGCTGGAGCCCACGTTCTACAAGACAACCCCTGCAGAGGTGGGAGCCAGGTACTACCTTCATCTGCACATAACCTAAGCAAAACAGAAATTTATCAGCCATAAATCATCTTACCCTGACTTAGCTGCAACAGAGAAGAGATACACTGTGAACTCAGCTGTACTTGCCTTTTCCCTGCCCTCCAAAAGGCCAAAGGTTTTGCCTACAGCCTGAACGCTGCCACTTCAGCTTCCATTTCTCTTCTTTCAATAGCTAAACTTTCAGTTGCAGAGCACCAAAGCAAGCTAACAGCTTGCCCAAAAGGACTCAACTAAGGTTTTAAGGACATGCTGCACTGCTAAAGCAGAGAGCCCAGACACACACCTAACCAAGGCAGGCTGTAGACACTGCAGCCCCCCAACCTCCTTCAAACAATCAAGCAAACTTGCTTTGTTCCTAGCCCTTTAGAGAAATCACCTGGCTATCTCCCAGCTGGATCTGATAACAAACAAAGCCAGCTGGCTCCCTTGCATCAAGCTCCACCTAGTCCACAAAGCAGATCAATTGTTACATTTATAAACTCAAAATAATTCATTTATAGTTTTGAATGTGTTTTATTATTCACTGCAAATGCTTTCCCTCATAAAAACATTCCAACAGATTGGTGAATGAGGCTGCCATATACCTACATCCATATAAAAGTTCAGGAAACACACCTGCAAATCTTCTGCTAGACAGCAAAACACAGGAGGAATCTTGGTTTTCACTTAAGACTTCCCTCATTCTTTGCAAAGATAGTTTCATACAAGGAACAGCAGGCAGACAATAGTTAAATTTCAAAGAAAGGAATAGCTGGGCTTCATGTAGATGATGCCAGGAACAAACTAATGAGCCAGTGGTCGCTTGTGTATCAACTAAATTTAAGATTATGGATGTGACAGATCTCCTAATCATATTTTACTGTTCCTCCTAAATATTCTAGGCAAAAACACATTTTCTAGACAAAACAGAAGTAAGAAGGAAGAGTTGCCCTTAGGTGTCTGAAAATGACTTTGAAAGGTTGCCCTTACTAAATATTAAGACCAAAGGTTTTATTAGAGGGGGGGGGGAGTGGAACGGAGCCTGAGAAAGCAAAACACATGCTCAGCACAAGAATTACAGGAAAGAACATATCTCAGAAAGCATCTTCCTCTAAGAAGGAGGAGGTGAAGGTCTAATGCCTTTGGATGCATGCAAGGGTTTGGCAGATAGAGAGACCAAAAAACACAAATGGAGGGAGAGGAAAAATTATGTAAAAGAGTGGATGTTTCTGGGAAATATATGACAGAAAAACATTCAAAGCTCCATGGTGACAGAGATAGCCCAGCAGCTCTCAAAAAAGAGGTCACAGGGTGAGTAATACAAGGCAGAAACTTAGAGAGATGATTTATCTATCTATTGGGAGATGCTTGGATGCAGAGTTGAAGTTTTTCAGCGTAAAGGCAGAACTGTCAGTAACTTCCCCAATCTTGTCTTTGGAGAAAAGCAGCTGTCACTAGAAGGTTTCCCTCCACTGTAAATAACTTTACCAGCCTCAGATTTTGGGGATAGTATGCAACTGGTCAATATAAATCTATGCTTGATTACTTTTTTTTTGGAAAACACAAACCACCAGCACCTACAAAGTCATATTGAAAAATAAAGGCACAATCTAGTGATTTATTTAAAAAATAACACAAAAGAAACTTTTCCTATATTCTTTCAGAAGAACTTTTTAGTTTCAAATTCATCAGAGCTCTGAAAGAGTATGCTTATTCAGGAACAAAGGAAACCATGCAGATACATTGGTGAGGGTCCTAAAATATGATTTAAATTTTTGCAAGTCAAGAAGCTGGTGGGGAAATTGCGTTAACGCTTTTCCAAAGATATATCATGGTGACAAAGCTTCCTTTTAGAAAACAAGGGCATTTAAAATCTCAAACACATTCATTCCACAGTCTGTATTCAAAGCAAGCCCACCAAGCTCTTGCACAAAAGGTGAATAATCAGCCAGCTATACACTATTCATTAATGATGCAGAAAGAGTGGGATCTTTAAAAGCAAATGCTGTCATGGAAAGATGCATTTTTAGAAGCTATTAGAATATTTGTCTTATTTATTCTTCCATATCCTCACCTGAGCTCAGTCTGCTGAAGAACAATGCAATCAGTCAAGTTGTTTAATAATGGAAGATTCAAAACCTTTTCAATAAATATGTTAAATATGTCCCTGGGCTTTTCAGTTTGCAATGGAATTTTCTAAATATCAATCAAAGCAGCAGAAAACAAAAAGACTCAAGAGATGTCTGAACAAACCCTAGTAATTTTAATTTAATTTAAACTTAATTTAACTACTTAATTGCCTTTTCTCTATTCTCCACAGCAGTCTTGTCCTCTGCTGATACGGTACACTATAGATGTTTTTAACTCTTATTATTTTGTTGCTTGGAACCTTCCCTCTATAATAATTTAGCAAAATCTTTTAGGTAGATACGACTGAGCTGCAAGAGGTAAGAAAGCCAAGACTTTACCTCACCTGCCAGTGTTTTTGTTCTCTTTTATGCTCTTTTCCTGTTTTACCTAACTAGATGAGAAGAAGAGGTTGTTGCCTACCAATAGGATCTGCGGTAGACACTGCATCTTTTATCAATGCTTCTAAAAACTTTAATAGAAAACATTATAACAAAAAAGACAGTAAAACTGGAAGCAAATAGAAACAGACAAACAGAGGGGAAAAAAAATATGTGTAAAAGGGACAAAGAAATACAGAAATGACACAACATGGCAGGAAAAACACACCCAATAAACAAACAAAAGAGCAACAAATTAGAGAAGAGGCTATGCCTGCAGAAATTAGGAGAAAGCACAACAAAACAAAACACAAAAGAGACTAGTCCATACCCTTTTCTTCAAGTAAAATTGCTTCAGATTGTGTTGAAGTGGAATGAAATATATTTTCTCTCAATTGAATTCTGGCTTTTCTGTTACTGGCACTTCTGCATGTATCTAAGCAGACACTGTGCTTTTTTTTGCTATATTCAGAAGTCATCCCCATGCCACTGACTTTTTTTATCAACATCTCTACTAGCACAGCTGACATCAATAGTTCTCATGATCAGTTTTATGTAAAGTGTTTCTCTTTGGGGAAAAAGATACGCTCATTTTTTTCTCATTACTGAAGTAAGGTTACTCTTTCTATTACTGGTTTACACGCTACAGCCAGCCTTTTAGCTTGAGCTATCAGGTATATTTTAATGATGTGCTGAGCAAGGGCACTATTACCTGTAGCTATCAGCATACTGTCCACCACTTTGCCATGTAATTAGGATTTCTTCCTTTTGCTAATCAAACTCATCTTTCCCAGTTGCACACTCCTCTGATACCAGCCTCTGTGTTAGTGCGTGTGTGTAAGCATGAGCACAGCAGCTGACAGAACCACAGCACCCAGCCAAGTGGAAAATACAATTTCCAGAAAATAAAAATATGCATTCACAGAAACAACAATCTGCCTAAATAAGTAATCTGTAAAATGCAGCTACCCAGTAATTTAGCAGTGAAAATGATCAAGATTTCTCTAGTGGCTCTCATCTAGAAGTTTCCTCAGATACGTATGTTCTTTGTTACAATTAAGAGTAGATTTGATACCTATTAAGGGCTGACATACCCACCTCTCTCAGACAGTTATCACTTTGGAAGAATAATTGTATTGCAAAG